ATATATATATATATATACAGTATATACACACAAGGAGCATTAATGTTCAGTAATGTCTTGAAAGTTTGTATGAGAGTATAACTTACATCCATTTCCTGTCTCCATTTGCTGTGATAAAGCCAAAATATGGAGGGAAGAGAAACAACAGAGGTTATTATGCATTGAATTGCAGCATATTTATCATTTAAAATGTATTTGTCACCAAAAAAATACTGCACTCTGTGTTGAAATGTGACTACAACTATTATAAACGAACAGAACTGGTATTTTTAAAGGCACTTCATTTTGAAATTGCTAATTTACATGAAAGCATTCATTTCAGGAAGTTAAAAATGCCAAGTATAAGCTGTGGTTCTCAACTGGTGTGTTGTGACCACACACAAAAAAAATGCCAGCAGGGGAAAAACAATGCTAAATACATGGCCTCATCCTTTAAAATCATGAATGAAACTAGGCAAAAGAAAATATTACCCAGACTATATTAAAAACGAGTTCACTAGCAAAGTGGATAAACACTATTTTCTGAGGAGAATAATTTATACATTTAAATATTTGACATTAACGACATTTTTGTATGTTACAACAAAAATAATAATTTGGTACTCTTTGGGTCACTTGAATATGGGACACATGATAAAAATAGACATTTTTAAAGAAATAGTTCCCCCAAAAATGAAAATCTGCTGTTAATTTACTCACCCTCAGGCCATCCAAGATGTAGGTGACTTTTTTCCTCCGTAGAAGAGTAAAGATTTTTTAGCTGAAACCATGGTCCATTTACATTATGTTGTAAATAATGTTCAGCTTCTTGCACAGAACGATTGTTTCGCTTCATAAGACGTCAATATACCGTCAGGAGCCATATGTATTCATTTTGTGTTCCCTGATATGCTTTTGTTTGACTCTCAAAATGATAGTAACTGCTGACTTGCATTTTATGAATCACCAAAAACCATGGTTTCAGCTAAAATTCTTCCTTACTGTTCTACTGAATACAAAATCTTGGATGGCCTGAGGGTCAGTAAATTAACAGCAAATTTTCATTTTTGGTGAACTATCCCTTTAAGTGAGTTTTCACATTTGGTTCTTAAATTACACAGAAATCCACATCATAAGAAAGATTTGGGTTATACTATGTGAATTAATTAAATGCCCAAATGCATCTTAAGGTAAAGATTTGGCATACTTACATATCTTAGCATATTTTCAACAGGTAAGGAAACTTGCTCATTACCAAACATTTCCCGTAGAGGAAGTCTGCCTCCTATTGGACAAAAAAAAAAAAGAAGCTGCTGTTTATGTTTGGAGAAATTAGAAAAGTAGACAATTAAGTAGTAGATAATTAATTTGATTTTGTCAGTAACCTTGTTCCCGGGCCCTGTACTCCTCTATCCTGCAGGCCAGCTGTTTGTCACATTTGTCTAAAACATTGTAAAGTTCATCCAGGTTGTCTTCCCCAAGCTTCTGTAGCTTTTCCATCTCAATCATAACATCTAGAAATGTCTATGTGATTCACATAAAATAACATTGTTATATAGTAACAGGTTAAAGTGCAACCCATAATAACTATATTCGTAATTAAATAATACAATTTACAAGGCTAGTTACTGCAGTCAAGGTAGCAAACTACATATTGCACTTTTCCACATTAATTTATTATTCATATGCAATCTGCACTAACATTATAACTTCCGGGCTCAAAATATATAACTCACAGCAGACGTTCCTAGTTTTGACCTCGGAAGTTCCACAAGGAATTTCACTGCGCGAAGGTTTTCTTCTGTCATGTCCTCAGATATTCTAAATAGCATTTTTCTGTGATGAGAAAAGAGTGAGACAAAACAAGTCACAGTCATTGTGACATAAAATATTATCAGTACAGTAACTACAGTACAAGGAGCCCTTTCTAAGAAAACAATGTGATATTGACTGATATTGATATTGCGTTGGCAACTACTTCTATCTAGTTTATCAAGTCAGTGTGTTTTCTTCATACCTGTAGTCTGAGACACCTTTACTAGACATGTCACGTTGTAGCAGATTTCTTTCCACATCATCTTTGGACATTTCCAGGATGCCAAGCAAGTCAAGGTGGCCAATAGTGATCAGAAGCTCGGGGATGAGTAACCCATCATCAAGCAGTGCTTGCTCTTCCAGTCTCAGGAACAGTTCTTTGGCATCAGTCACGGTCTCCAAACGTTTCTTGGGAATTAGGTCCATGCACAGAAACTTCAGCTGGGCCACTTCACTACATGTCAGGTTCTCATCAATCTTGTGAAACTTATGAGGATCCATATTCTGTTACATAATGTTAAACAAAGACTCGTTGAAATAAAAGGAAGAAACAACTTAAACAACTTGAGAAAGCCCTTACTTTGGCAACTATAATAATCATACATTCAATAACACATGTTACAACTTGCCCAACCCAATATGAAAAAGATCCTTGTCATGAAAACATGGCGTAAAGAACGTTCATGATATGAAGAGTTCAGATGCAAAAGCCTCTTAAGTGCTATCTGAAATTTTCTTCTAAAATTAGCATTTTTGTCAGGCTCCTATGTTTAGGTTCAGTAATTTTACTATAATGACAATATGTAGGTCCTTTTCAATGCCATTAAAGTGAAATAAATGAACATAAATATAGGAGCCTGATAAAAATGCTCATTTTAGATGAAAATTTCAGACGGCACTAGCGGCTTTTGCATCTGAACTCTTCATATATTTCTAGAGTGTATTTATTGTGTTCACTTGTTAACAAAGAATACAAAATACGATTACATTGGAATTTTAGTTTAGGACAGAATTCACAAATAGCGTCATTTAACAAGTTTCGAACTAGGTATTTGAACGCAGCATACAAAACCACTAATTCAAACATAGTTTTTGATATATAGCTTTGTGCAGTTTTGGGGGTAACGCATTACAAGTAACTAGGGATGCACCGATATGAAAATTTTGGCCGATACCGATAACCGATTATTCTTTATTTTTGAAAGCCGATAACCGATATGTTGGCCGATAAATCTATATCCAAATTGTTATATACTTTTTGAGAGCCTGATTACAAAAAAGGTCTCATCATTAAAAGCCACATCCCAAACACTTCAACATAAGCAGCCTAGTTTGAACGGTGTACATTTTAAAAATATTTTTACTCTCCCATTACCAAATTTAGTCATAAAAAAGTCTTACAAATAAATAAATAATGTTCTCATTAGAATGTTATATACACGACATTCCCAATCATAGTTATTAATGTTGTGCACTGCTGTTTGAGCTGCGTGTGCTGAGCTAAAGATGATCACCGGTAAACTGAAGCGCTCTTTTAACTTAACCAAACGCATTCTATATGAGATAAATCAGATATACATCAAATAAACACAATATTCAATTGCACAATTGCACAAAAGGCTGCAAACGAACAGCGCACATCTGAAGTGTCTCTGAAGGAAATAATGCATTATTTATCGATATCGGCCTATCGGCCAAATTTTCTTATCAGGCCGATACCGATAACAGAAAAAAATGAGCCGATATGGGCCGATACCGATATGGTGGCCGATATATCGTGCATCCCTA